GCTGGGCGGCCGCTGGCCCGGCACCCGGGGGCGTGCAGCAGTGGGATGGCTCAGCTTGGCCGTGGTGACCGGCACCGCATTGAAGCCCTCAGCATCTGCCAAAGGGAGGGTGTCAGCACCCGGCGCTGGCACAGGGCATGGCCCCGCGATGGCTGCAGTGCCCGGTGCCAGCACCCAGCGCCTACCTGGGTCGCTGGCTCTGCCCCACTCCACGTCAGCCGAGGCGCAGGGCTGGGGGGTGCCGGGCCTGGGGACGGCAGAGGCAGTAAAGCGGCACAGCCGGGCCATGCTCAGCCCTCCCAGGGGAGACACCAGCCCCGCTCCGGAGACCAAGCATGGACATCAGCACGACCCCGGCTCTGGGGGCATCGTGGCGGCCCCCAGATGCCCCGGCACGGCCATGTGTGTCTTACTTGCTCGCCAGCGTGGGTCCTGGTTTGGCCTTGGCAGGGACGGGGGGAGCAGGAGCCATCCTCTTGCTGGGGGGGAGCTTGGCCGGCTCCATCCTCACTGGTGCCAGGAGCTCTGGGGAGAGGACGCAGGGCTGGGGCTGGGACCAGCACAGCAGCGCTGCAAGGCTGGGCGAGAGCGGGGCAGGAAGCGCTTCCCGCTGGGGAGCCCCAGCTGCGGCCATGCCCCGGCACTGGGAACCCACCCCGGGCATGGAAGTCCTGTCCCGGGCAGGTCCCCATCCCCGTCCCTCCCTCCTCCACCGGCCCCCAGCCCAGGGACTCACCTGGGTGCTCCCCCTCCTTGCCCGCCTTGTCCTTTGCTGTCTTACAGGCTGCCGGGGAGCAAAGGGGCTCGTCAGGCACAGGGGGAAGGACCCTCATTATGGCCCCTCTCCCAGGGACCCTTTGGCTGGGCAGGGCAGCCCCCCCACCCTGCTAGGACACGGTCTCCAAGGATCATCCCAGGGCTCGGGGTTGTGTGTGGGGACAGGGGGGGTGCTGGGAGGAGGCGCCCACAGGCAGGACTGGTAGGAGATGTCGCCCCACGGCACTGCTGGGCCCATGGTTCCCACCAGCACCATCTCCCGCATCTGCCATGGCTGGCAGCAATGCTCGGTGGGACCCGACCAGCCCCATGGCAGCTCTGCCCCACCGCCCCCGGCACCGTGTGCCCAGGGCCCTGTCTGCTGATTCAGGGGCAGCCGCCCCTCCAGCCAGCCCTGCACCCAAACCCTGCACCCATCCCTGCACCCGGCCCGGCTGCGGTCGGCGCTTCCTCTGCATGCGGCAGAACAGGCAGCTGCAAACCTCCCCCAGAGCGCCGGCACTGCGGCGCGGGCAGGATGCCGTCCCGCCGCTGCCTACGGTGCAGCAGCATCCCTCTGCCACCGAGCCCCAGGGTCCCACCGGGACGGGCCCCCCCAGCAGAGCAGGATATGGGGCACCAGGCCACAGGCATGTGCCCATGGACACCCTGTCCTCATGGTGGGACACCCTGTCCCTGTGGTGGGCCACGCTGTCCCTGTGGTGGGCCACACTGTCCCTGTGGCAGGCCACCATGTTCCCATGGTGGGCCGGCAGCCCTGATGCCACTTGGTCCCTGCTGCTACCAGCACTGTCCTCACTGTGGCAGCCTTGCAGGCACCAAGAATGCCTGTGGGTTTTATCCACCCAAAGAGATGGCCACAGCCATGAGGGCCGCAGGGACAAGGACGGGGACGAGGGGGCCCAGCCCTGAGGGTGCAGGGAGCTGCCCTCCAGGCTCTGGGGCTCCATCGCTCCGAGCGGCGTGGAGTCGGTGGTGCCTGGGGCTGCCCGGCATCCCACCAGCCCCTGCTCCTCCTCGGCAGCTCCCGCAGGTTCTGGAGCACCAGCACAGCCCAGGAGCAGTGTGGCCCCATGCAGTTGCTGCCACCAGGACAGTCCCCAGGTGCAGGACCCCCAGAGCCATGGCCACTCCATCCTACCTGCTGTCGCGGGACTGCACACGAGGCCGTGCTGCGCGGTGCCGTGCCAGGCTCCCCCGGCTGCCACGGCCCCACACCATGCATGTGACGCAGGAGGAAATGGGCTCCGTGCTGGGAAGGAAGTCGAAGCAGAGCACACCTCGGTGCCGGTCCATGCCGTGTCCCCACGCCCCATAGGGCTTCTCCTGCCTCCCAGCATGGCCAGCCCCCCAGCTGCCCCAACCCACCTCGCACCCAGCCGTGGGGCTGCCTGGCCGTCCTGACAGGACACCGAGGCCCCCAGGGCCGG